CAGGTATTTTCCAACCCTACCTCCAGAAGTCCCTCGCCTGGAGTGCCAGGGTGGCCAACTTAAACAAAATATATATGGGGGGAGAGGGAAAGGGTGCCAGCCAGTGCGACCAAAGTATCCAAAGGATACTACTACTACTACTAATAATAATAATAATTATTATTAATAATAATAATTGGACTTATGGATCACCCAATCCCTGCTGGTGCAGTGCTCTGGGCGATGTACAATCATCATAAAACATCAAGCAAGAGATCATTTTGACAGATTTCATTTTAAGAGCCAGTTTGGTGTAGTGGTTCAGAGACTCTAATCTGGAAGAACCGGATTTGATTCCCCACTCCTCCACTTGCAGCCTGCTGGTATGACCTTGGGTCAAAGTTATCTCAGAGCTGTTCTCTCAGGAGCAGTCCTCAAAAGAGCTCTCTCAGCCCCACCTACCTCACAGGGTGTCTGTTGTGGGGAGGGGGAAGGGAAAGGAGTTGTAAGCCGCTCTGAGACTCCTTTGGGTAGTAAAAGGCAGAGGTATAAATCCAATCTCCTCTTCTTCTAAATATCCCTTCTATTGAAGCTGTGACGATTGCTATTAACTAGGAATATTCCTAACCTCCTGACCCCAAAACGAGACGTTTTCATCAGTTTTTTCAAAAGAGCCCAAATGGGACAGACCCCCCCAAACGTGTCCTCTAAAAAGAGGGTCTCTGGTAACTCCATTGTATGGCATCATACCCTGCCAAAGCCCCTCTCCAGGCTCCGCCCCCCCAAATCTCCAGGAATTTCCAAAACGGGAATTGACAACTCTTAACAGCTACCCGCCTGCTTGCTGCCACTTCTGTTTGCCTGACCTGCAGGGCCCGTCTCAGACAGCGGGTCTCTTGAGGCACCTGCTCTTCGTAAGAACAACGGAGTAACCAGCTTTAGATTCTTTTGTCTGGGGTTGGCGAGAGCTGAACTCTAGAGGTGTCGTCATGGTAGTCCGTTGCGGCTGCAGCATCAGGAGTTTTGTGACATCTTAAAAGACTAACCGATTTTCTGTGGCATACACTTTTTTGGCGCCTGCTTTGTCAGATGCGTAGATGACGGGGACTCCACACTCACATCCGGGAGACGCCCCCGGTGAACAAAAGATGTTCAAAGGATACGGAGCTCAGAAAGCAAACTTGACGATCAGTGACCGTTTGCCCTTTGGCTTGGTTTCCAGGGCAAGAGATATTCCAAAGTGGTTTGCCATTGCCTACTTCTGTATCACCATGACCGTGGACTTCCCTGGCGGTCTCCCACCCAGGTACTTGCCCGGGCCGACCTTGCTCAGCTTCTGAGATCTGAGGAGATTAGGTTTAGCCTTGGCCACCCAGGTCGGGGCATTTACTGCAATACTGATGAAAATTACATGTATGTATTAAAAAATATTTACTCCCCAGTGCCCACCTTTCCCTGGACAACCAGAAGAGCTTACAAATGCAGCAAACTCCATCCCAAAGGGCAAATGGTCACTGAGAGCCAGTTTGGTGTAGTGGTTAGGAGTGCGGACTCTAATCTGGGAGAACCGGGTTTGATTTCCCCACTCCTCCACATGCAGCTGCTGGTGTGACCTTGGGTCAGTCACACGTTCTCTCAGAGCTGTTCTCTCAAGGGCAGTTCTCGAGAGAGCTCTCTCAGCCCCACCTACCTCACTGGGTGTCTGTGGTGGGGAGGGGAAGGGAAAGGGGATTGTAAGCCGCTCTGAGACAACTTTGGGGTAGTGAAGGGCGGGGTATAAATCCAATCTCCTCTTCTTCTCATCATCAAATCCGCTTTTTGAGCTTAGTATCCTTTGACCATCTTTTGTTCATTGGAACATCTCCTGGTAGGGAGCATAGAGTGGCAGTTATTCATGCAGTTCCTTGATAGGGTTGAGGGCCCTCATGTGGGTCTTGCATGGATCTAAGGTCTGGGGTTTGTTGTGCTTCCCCAGTTGCTTTTTCCAGAGAGAGAGAGAGAGAGAAAGAGACTTAATCCTTGTCTTTGATGGTTCTGCAGTTGTGCTTCCTTGGCAATGCACCCGGAGGTCTCACCCTGCCCGCCAGAGAGGACGCAGCCTGGACTGGTCCCAGATGTTAAATGAATTCTGTGTCCCCCGCTTCAGTGCAGTACTTGAGTCACGATGAGCTGCCCCACTCCGACGGACCGCAGCTCTTTAATTCCAGGGCCCCCATCCACGGGGAGAGCTACAGGAGGTCCATCTCTGCGGCGGGCTCCGCACACGGCCAGCACAGCGAGCCGGATGAAGTGGACAAGATCAAATGCAAAGTCCTTTCTGTCTGGAACAAAGTGAAATATGGTGAGTAGGAAGCCACTGCCCCTCCCCAGCGCACATTTTACAAAAAATGTATTTATTTATTATTGTTTAGACTTTTAGGCCGCCCCTCCCTGCAAGCAGGGCTTACAACAGGCTAAAAACACACATTCCAAGTTAAGATTAAGCCAGCATTAGACGGTAAAAGTAAAGGCTTCCCTTGCTCAAAAGCCAGTTGAATCCGACTCTAGGGGGCAGTGCTCATCTCTGTTTCCAAGCCGAAGAGCCAGCGCTGTCCGAAGATGTTTCCGTGGTCATTGGCTGGCATGACTAGACACTGAGGTGCACGGAACGCTGTTCATATTTCACCTTTCCTCGTAGTTCAAGGTAGCTTACTTTAATAGTTAAAAACATTGCCCGTTAAAACCAGAATAATTTAAAAAAAAAACACAGAATAAAATAACAAATCCTATCTCACTCCCCCCTTAAAAGGTGGCTGCTATTCCACACCCTCCTCCAAAGCCCTGGTAGACAAGCCTTGCAGGGCTTCCTCAAGATCTCCGGGGGTGGGGGGCTCACCCCTTCAGGGAGCCCCTTCCACAGAGCCATGATGGGAAAGGCCCAGGCGCCAGCGGTTGCCAGACAGGCAGTGGTGGGAGAGACAACAGATGGCTGCCTGACAACCGTAGTTGGCGCACAGGGACATATGGAAGGCAACGGTCCTTCAGATATGAAGGTCCCGGGTTGGACTCAGGAAAGGCTTTAAAGGGTCCCCCTTTCTGGTGTTTTACCATATTACTTTTTCTGCCTGACTTCACTGCTATTCTTGAGGGGAGATATAAGAAAATTCCTTATTCAGTCAGGTTTTGTGGATGTAATGGAAGAGAAATAGAAACGGTTGAGCACGTACTCTTACACTGTAAATTGTTAACTGACATTCGAGTGGAATTTATAGAAGCCCCCCTTAGGTTGGTAGTAGGCCAACCGGATAGAAATAAGGTACATTATCTCCTTGCTTCCCGAGACCCGGAGATCATTGAACTGACCGCTAAGTTTCTTCATTGTTTTATAAAACGGAAGAATGACTGAGCATATTAATGATTCTTAATTTATCATTTTAAAAACTTAAGTTTAAAGGTTTAGATTTTAATTTATTGTACGACTCAGTTATCTTTTGTATGGTCAAATCTATCTTGTGACAACTTGAGGTATGTTATAGGCCTGACATATCCTTGGAATGGTTTACCACGATTATCCATTTTATAATCTCTATAGGATTATAGAGATTATACTGGGATTATACTGGGAAATGTTTATTTTAATATTGTATGCCAATAAAAGGTATTTGAAGTTGCTTTAAAGGTCATAACCAGCACTTTCAGCTGAACTCGGAAACAGACTACAAAATTAGAGTCCAGCGGCCCCTTTAAGACCAACAAAGCTTTACCTTTGAATAAACCTTGGTTGGTCTTAAAGGTGCCCCCGGACTCTAATTTTGTACTATTGCTTCGGACCAACACGGCTGCCCGCTCGGAAACAGACTGGCAGCCAACGTAGCTGTCCCAAAAATGGGCAGTGTATGTTCCCGGGGGCTAGCCCCAAACAGCAGATGGCCGGCTGCCACATTCTGGACCAGTGGTTGTTTCCAGGTTGTCTCCAAAGGCAGCCCCACGTAGAGCACATCGCAGTAATCTCAGCCCATTGTTTAGTAAGTGGTGTTTCCTGCTAAAGAATCGCAAAGAGAGCATTGAGACGGATGTCCCATTCTCAGGTACCAAAGATGGTTAGTCTATCTTCCTCCCTCTCTTTCTGTGTGCCTGTGTTTGCCTTGCTGTCACTAGGATCTGAGAGACTCTCCGTGAGTCTGGGGGAAACCTAGCGTAGTCATGGTGCCTGAAATTTGCCTGAGGCATTAAGGAGAGAGCCCCTGGTGCCCAGAGCTTTGTGGGAGCCAGGGCTGCGATCACAGCATTGATCTGTGTGGTGGGAAACAGCCAAGGTGTCTGGATGGGTCTTATAAATATATATATATATTATTATTTTAGTTTTTTTAAATAGGGTACAGGGAAAAAAGGGGGTATGATGGTGAAAGGCTGAGACACTTTTTTACAGATATTGAAGTAAAAAAAGGTAAAGGTCCCCTTGCTCGAAAGCCAGTCAAATCCGACTCTAGGGTTGCGGTGCTCATCTCCGTTTCAAAGCCGAAGAGCCAATGCTGTCCGAAGACGTTTCCGTGGTCATGTGGCCGGCATGCTTCCACACCCTGCAGTTCAGCGTCTTAACCACTTGAGCCACCGCAGCTCCACAGATATTAAAGGAAATATTTAAAAACGGATTAATAAATCTAAGTAAATCATTATAGTATTATAACATCACCCATAACCCTATTTCCCTATAATTCAACAAATTCACCATTCCCAATCTAAAAATAGAAATTGTAAGGAAAAATATATAAACAAATTATCTCAATATTTTATGTACATTTGAAGTAATCACATAGCCATTTAAAATAATTTGTAGTAATAGGGAAAGGATGGTTCTTATAAATATTGATCCTTTGCAATAATAATACATGACACTTTGTGTTATTTTATAGTGCCTGATCTCAAGAAAAGTTCCCCATGAGTTTTCAGTTTGGTGAAAGCCAGTTTGGAGAGCCAGTTTGGTGTAGTGGTTAAGTGCGCGGACTCTAATCTGGGAGAACCAGGTTTGATTCCCCACTCCTCCGTTTGCACCTGCTGGATGACCTTGGGCAAACCGTAGTTTTGATAAGAGCTGTTCTTGAAAAAGAGCAGTTTCTGTCAAGAGCTTTCTCATCCCCACCTGCCTTACAGGGTGTCTGTTGTGGAGAGGGGAAGGGAAAGGAGTTTGTAAGGTGCTTTGAGACTCCTTTAGGTAGTGAAAGGCGGGGTATAAATCCAATCTCTTCTTCTTCTTCTTCTCTTCTTCTAGGTAGCAGAGGACACTTAAATTAAGTGCTTTTAATATTCGCTTTGAACTGCCTGTAAATTACGGCTGTAACAGGAAATAGATCGAGATGGGCAGCCCTGTAGCCATAGAAAAGAGCAAGAGTCCAGCAGCGCCTTAAAGACTGACAAAACATGTGGCAGGGTATGAACTTCAGATTATCTGAAGAAGTGTATCTCACAATACAAGAACTCGTGGGCACTCCATGAAATTGCTGAGCGGTCATGTTAGAACGGATCAAAGGAAGTACTTCTTCACCCAAAGAGTGATTAACACATGGAATTCACTGCCACAGGAGGTAGTGGCGGCTACAAGCATGGACGGCTTCAAAGAGGGGATTAGATAAGCATATGGAGCAGAGGTCCACCAGTGGCTATTAGCCACAAGGCTAACGTTCAGGCTGGGGCAAGTGATGCTCTATATTCTTGGCGCTTGGGAGTGGGGGCAACAGTGGGAGGGCTTCTAGTGTCCTGGCCCCACTGCTGGACCTCCTGATGGCCCCTGGTATTTTTGGCCACTGTGTGACAGAGTGTTGGACTGGATGCGCCATTGGCCTGATCCAACATTGGCTTCTCTTATGTTCTTATGTTAAGCGATAACATGACTCACAAAATCTCACACCCTGCCACATATTTTGTTAGTCTTTGAGGTGCTACTAGACTCTTGCTCTCTTCTATGGATAGAACAGTTTTGTGTTAAATTGATTCCTCTCCCCCCCCCCCTCAATTTATTTTTATTCACCCTGGAAGAGTATGTCCCTCAAAGTGCTGCCTTCCTGTTACTTCATCCCCTTTTCATCCCAAGGAGTTTCAGGAGGATGTGTGGGAACAAGAAGAAATCTTTTTTTACTTAGCCAGAAGCTTCCCTGCTTGCCCATTCCCTCCCCTTGACCTGAGGCAGGGCCCGACCCACTTTCTCAAAGCACTCGGTGGGCAACATTTTGGAGACTTATATTGTCGAAGGCTGTCATGGCCAGAGTTCATTAGTTGTTGTAGATTTTCCAGGCTGTCTGGCTGTGTTCTTGGCATCGTAGGACCTGACGTTTCGCCAGCAGCTGTGACTGGATGTATAACACAGAAAGATGGAGTACTCTCTGGGTCAATGTGAGAAGACTGCCTACCCGCCTACCATTTTTCTTCTCACACTGACCCAGAGAGTACTCCATCTTTCTGTGTTATACCTCTGAGGATGCCAGTCACACCTGCTGGCGAAACGTCAGGGACTACAATGCCAAGACCACGGCCAGACAGCTCGGAAAATCTACAACATTGGAGACTCCTGCTAAAGAAGGTATTGTCCAGCAAACCGTGTCTGAGGAGTGTCTTCTGATGCATCATTAGCGGAGCAGGTTATGAGCTGTTCATATTTCTGTACTGTATGAAGCGGGGACTGGCGGTGGAGGGAAGATACTGTTTTGGAGGCTGGGAACTGCCCAGATTTGCACCCCAGACCCCAGAAGGGGTGTGGCCTACTTCTGTAAGCCTGAAATGCCACTTACTGCTTTTTTAACCAACACTGGACCCTTTTGACTCCTTTCTTCCTCCAGGTTGGACGGTCAAGAGCAAAACCAATTTCAGCAAGCTCTCCCCGGTCTACCTCTTTGGCTACATCTACCACTTTGACCGAGAGGGTGAGTAGCTTAGATTTGAAGGGTACTTTCTGCTAGCAGGTTGTGTTTTAGGGTTATCACCCCTCACAGCATCCGTCCCCTACCCACTTGGAGGCTGCAAACCCTCAGTGCGTGGCCATGGATTTCTGACCCTGCAGTTTCCCAAGGAGCTCACTGTTGATTCCGAAGAACAAGGGGCCTTTTTGTACCGGCCTTTGCTCTAATTCTTTCCCTTCCTTACCTTTAGTCTGCTGTTTGCCTAGCAGGAGCCAAGGAGGTCTGTGCCAGCCACTTTTTTCTGGTCTGAGTGTTCAGATTCTTTTCCATTTCTCATTTGTTGGTTTTACCATTTGCGTTTGGTGAGTTTTCTTGGTCAAACAACAAAGGGGGTATCTTCCCTGCTAATAGCTGGGGATTTATGGAGCACGCTTTGCTACCTGAAGTTACAGATGTGAGTGGACGTTTCACTTGCCACTGGGCCTATTCTACGATCAGACGGAGAGGCCCTCCCGCCTGTCCCACCAACCCAAAAAGAGCCAGTTTGGTGTAGTGGTTAAGTGCGCGGACTCTAATCTGGGACAACTGGGTTGGATTCCCCACTCCTCCGCTTGCAGCTGCTGGATGACCTTGGGCAAGCCATAGTTCTGCCAGAGCTCTTCTTGAAAAAAAAAAGCAGTTTCTTTCAAGAGTTCTCTCAGCCCCACTTACCTCACAAGGTGTCTGCTGTGGGGAGGGGAAGGGAAAGGAGTTTGTCAGCCGCTCTGAGACTCCTTTAGGTAGTGAAGGACGGGGTATAAATCCAATCTCCTCCTCCTCAAAAAAAATTGTCTTAGCTCAGGAAGGAGGGCTCCAGAGCAAACTAATTTATGCAGCAGCCAAATCTCTCGCTCACAGCTTTAATGGCAGTAGTTCACAGAGTAGAATTCTTGCTCACAAGACTCCACAGCTTAGAGGGAGCATTGCTCACTGGGTGTCTGTTGTGGGGAGGGGAAGGGAAAGGAGTCTGTAAGCCGCTCTGAGGCTCCTTTGGGTAGTGAGGGGCAGGGTATAAATCCAATCTCCTCCTCCTCCTCTTCCTCCTCCTCCACCACCACCATCATAATTATGGAACAGGCTCCCCAGGGAGGTGAAATTGGCCTCCTCACTTTTAGGACTGCAGTTGACTAATTTTAGTTTTGTTTCCTGGCCGTCCTAATTGAGATTTTAAATTGTGGTCTTTTAGGTGTTTTTTTGTTTTATAATCCCTGTATTTACATCATAAGCCACCTTGAGGTTCCACAATGTAGAAAGTTGGCTGACAGATGTTTTCAGTAGATACGCTGCCTGACGTGGCCGCCGTCTTCCTTGCAGAGGATGTGGAGCGTTTCCACCGGGACTTTGCTTCCCGCATCTGGCTGACCTACCGGAGGGAGTTTCAGCAGCTGGAGGGCACGACGTGGACCACGGACTGTGGCTGGGGCTGCATGCTGCGCAGCGGGCAGATGCTCCTGGCGCAGGGACTCCTCGTCCACTTCCTCGGCAGAGGTGAGAGAGCACCAGTTTGATGTAGTGGTTAGGTGTGCAGACTCTAATCTGGGAGAACCAGGTTTGGTTCCCCTATCCTCCACATGCAGCTGCTGGTGTGACCTTGGGCAAGCCATAGTTCTGACAAGAGCTGTTCTCTCAAGGGCAGTTCTCAAGGGAGCTCTCTTAGCCCCACCCATTTCACAGGGTGTCTGTTGTGGGGAGGGGAAGGGAAAGGAGACTGTAAGCCGCTCTGAGACTCCTTTGTGTAGTGAAGGGTGGGGTATAGACTCCTTCGGGTAGTGAAGGGTGGGGTATAAATCTAATCTCCTCCTCCTCCTCCTCCTCCTCCTCTTCTTCTTCTCCCCCTCCTCCTCCTCCTTCCCCTTCTCCTCCTCCTCCTCCTCCTTTTCCTTCTCCTCCTCTTCTTCCTCCTCCTCTTCTTCTCCTCCTCCTCCTCCTCCCCTGCAGAGAAGCAGAGTTTGGCCTCTCTGCTCCCTCCCAGAGCATACAAACTAAGTTTATCAACGTCGGGATCTGCAGCCTCCCCTGTAATCAGTTGTGTGCAGACCCAGAGAGCCATCTGGGTCAATGGCGTCTCTACCCCATTGCATTTTCTGGTGTGGCATCAGGGCTGGCTCCAAGTTTTGGGGGAGTGCCCGCTACCAGAGGGTGCCCACTACCAGCCCTCTCTCCTCCTTTTTCTTTTTATTAAAAAAACAGCACTTTCTTGTAATGTTTACATTACAATAGGAAAGAAGCAATAAATTCAACATAAACATTCCAAGGAAAGAACTTTTAACAGCTAATTTGTACAAAGTATACAATGTAACAGTCAACCATTCATTAACAATTACTTTAATCCAATAAAGATTTTCCACACTTAACGTTATACACTTATTGCAAATAACAAATGCTAAGTCCTAACCAATGCTCCCTCTTGTGAGCGAAAATTCTACTTTGTGAGCTGCCGGCATTAAAGTTGTGAGCCAGCCATTTGGCTGCTGCATACATTAGTTTGCTCTGGAGCCCTCCTTCCTGAGCTGAGACGAAAATGCTTGAGCTGGAGGCTAAAAACCTGTGAGCTAGCTCACACTCACTCAGCTTAGGAGGAACACTGGTCCTAACTTATAACCTCCTTCATTTATTTTTAAAAACTTATATAATGATTTAGAATCTGTCCAAAACGTGTGTGGGTGATGAATCATAAACATATTCTGCTCATCTAATTTAATGTTGACTTTTCCATTGAGCTGTTGTGGGCCTCCTTTGAGTTTCGTTGGGCGATCCAGGCCTCTCTCCTTTCCCGCCCATCCACCAGTGTTCCCTCTAAGCTGAGTTAGTGTGAGCCAGCTCACAGTTTTTTAGCTTCCAGCTCACACATCTTTGTCTCTGCTCAGGAAGGAGGGCTCCAGTCCTTAATGCCAGGAGCTCACAGAGCAGAATGTCTGCTCACAAGACTCCACAGTTCGGAGGGAGCATTGCCACCCACTTGCCCCTCCTTGCTTGCACCTCCTCCTCTGGCCCACCCACCACTCTCCCACCCCCTGCAGTCTCCCAGCTGCCCATTCCGGCTGCATGATTCTTCCCCAGTGATGCTGGGCGGCGGGCGCAGCTAGGGTTGCTGATTCTCGGTGTACCCTCCCTCCTGGCTAGTCAGAGCAGGGGCCCCTCGGAACGCTGATTCTCGGTGTACCACCCGTGCGCCCTTCTCCAGCGGCCCTGGGCGGCTCGTGCTACTGGGAGCACGGGTGCCAAAGCGCGCACAGGCAGACAGCGGGAGGGTGGGAGTGCAGGTACTGGAGGAGATGCGTGAGTCGGAAGTCAAGAGGAGTGGGCCACCCCCTGGCAGCTGCCCCACCTCAAGGTACCCTGGCGCCAGTTATATGTGGCATTAACGTTCTTACTGGAGCAGATGGTTGCAGGGAGTAGAAGAAGCTCTTTCGAGGACTGTCCTTGAGAGAAGGTCCAAGGTCATGTCAGGGTCCTTAGTCAGGCTACGCAACACAGGGCTTCATGAGAAGATAACTGTTTATTGGTAAATCCCGTACTAGAGACACGTGTACAGCTTGTGTCAGGAATGGCTGCCACTACTAGGGCCTCTGACTTATACTAGAATCAAACATCTCCCCTGTAAGCATGAGCCAATGGATACATCTCGCACGCGTGGGCAAAAGCAAGCAGGCAAAGCAAAAGCCGTTAACTTTCCCAGCCGAGAAAACTGCAGCTGGAGCATCTACAAGGTCAAGCATAAGATAGCAAACAGTTGGTGAGCCAGGGAAAGCTGAGACCGTACGGGAGGGAACCCCCCCCCACATTCCAAACCTATGACAGGGCTACCTGACAGGTCACACCAGCAGCTGCATGTGGTATTGAGCAGTGCGCAGCTGATTCCACGTGTAGGATTTTGTGTCTCGGCGCCTGCTGTGCTCGTGGGCATCTCTGGAGCATGTGCTGCTGGGCCAAACAGCCGGCCCCTCTTCCTTCTGAGGCAGAGAGGCTGCATCTCGCTCTTGCTCTTGTCCTTTTCAGACTGGACCTGGCCAGCTGCCCTGCTCCCCAGCGGCCCGGCAGAGACAGATCCCGGGAGAAGCTCCTCCTCACCCCATCACAGCGTGGCCCGCCTGCCTCCGGTGCCCTCCCTCCTGGCTAGTCAGAGCAGGGGCCCCTCGGAACGCTGGACCCTTCCCCGTAACTGCAGCCCCGGCGAACTGGAGAAGGAGGGCCGTCACTGCAAGATTATCTCGTGGTTCGCAGATAGGCCAGAAGCACCTTTTGGGATCCATCGCCTCGTCGATCTGGGGCGCAGCTCGGGAAAGAGAGCCGGGGACTGGTACGGACCCTCTGTCACCGCCCACATTGTGAGGTGAGCGGGTGCGCGGCACGGGGAGTGGTTTGTGTCATAAACAGATGCGATATTACAAACTCTCCAATAGTTGGTAAGCCTGTTGTTCTATTGTTGATCGGGTGCCCGGCTTTGAATGATTATAATAGGATTGAGTTTTTTCCAGGGCTCTTTTTGTAGAAAAAGCCCAGCAGGAACTCATTAGCATAATAGGCCACACCCAACAGCAGAAACTCATTAGCATATTAGGCCACACCCCTGACAGCACAGCTCATTAGCCCATTAGGCCACACCCCCATGTTACCAGAAGTGTGGTCATCCAGCCACACCCACATTTTGCTTGTTATTCTATTTACCTTGTTGGTGTTCAAAACCCAGGGCTTTTTTTGTAGCAGGAACTCCTTTGCATGTTAGGCCACACACCCCTAATGTAGCCAATCCTAATGAGTTTCTGCTGTTGGGTGTGGCCTATTATGCTAATGAGTTCCTGCTGGGCGTGGCCAACTCGGGAGCCAGCCGGAACTCCGTTCCTGTGCGTTCCTGCCCAAAAATAGCCCTGGTTTTTTCCTGTAATACTGGTCTGAAGGCTTTTATACACTGTGAGTGCTGTGCTAAGGATTTTTCCTTCTACATATACCATTTTAAAATCTTCTGTACATTATGAGTACTTTATGAAGTAGTGTGAACCTCTTGAAGAAGAGCTATCGAAACGAAGATCAAAATCTGGAGTGGATTGTGTCCCCAGGAAAGGAGCAGAGAGCTTACTTGGAGTCGCAGCACATGTCCTCTGGGGGAATGAGGACAGGGATGGATCTCCGCCGCGGCTAAAGGAACCAAAAGCCAGTTTGGCGTAGTGGTTAGGAGCACAGACTCTAATCTGGGAGAACCAGGTTTGATTCCCCGCTCCTCCACTTGCAGCTGCTGGTGTGACCTTGGGTCAGTCACAAGTCTTTTCAGAGCTGTCCTCAGGAGCAGTCCTCGAAAGAGCTCTCTCAGCTCCACCTCCTTCACAGGCAGTGCTGCCTCTAAGATGTGGAGTCTTGTGGGCAAAGATCCTACTTTGTGAGCTCCTGGCATTAAAGTTGTGAGCGAGCCATTTGGCTGCTGCATAAATTAGTTTGCTCTGGAGCCCCATCCTTCCTGAGCTAAGGCAAAAATGTATGAGCTGGGGGCTAAAAAACTGTGAGCTAGCTCACACTAACTCAGCTTAGAGGGAACATTGCTCACAGGGGAGGGAAATGGAAAGGAGACTGTAAGCCACTCTAATATTCCCTCATGTAGTGAAGGGCCGGGGATAAATCCAGTCTCCCCTTCCTCCTCCTCCTCCTCCTCAAGTTCTTTACGATCTCAGCTGAGGTGTGTTTGCAGAGTACTGCCTGGTTGCTTTCGAGCACAGGTGTTCAGTGTGCAACATCCATGGCTGTGAGAGTGCCTTGGTAGTGAGGCCGAGGAAAACCAGTCCACAGGAACACCTGAAGCTGCCTCGGACTGAATCAAATCTGAAGAAGAATAGGAGGAGGAGGAGGGGATTGGATTTATACCCCGCCCTTCATTCGGAGTCTCAGAGCGGGGGGTACTGAGGGGAGTCCCGGTGGACGCCAGTGTGCTCAGGGACACCACATGGGGGAGCCCCGTCACTGAGTCTCAAGATGGGCCAGTGACACTTTAAATGAAGACTGAATGTTTGGGGTGGACCCGGCCAGCTGTTTGGCAGGGATGGCGCTCACGACAGCCTCCTCCTTGTCCTGCCCTGGCACTGCCCACCTCCGCCAGTCTCCACTCACCCCAGCAAACAGGGGCAAGGCTGCCTGGGAGACGACCCCCCGTTGGGTCCGTACGAAAGAGCCTGTGGCTCAGTGATGGAGCGTCTGCTTGGCGTGCAGAAGGCCCCAGGTTCAATCCCCGGCATCTCCAGTTGAAAGGAAGAGTTCGGAGGGGATGTGGAAGACTTCCACCTGAGACCCTGGAGAGCCTCTCCCAGTCTGAGTCAACCAGTAATGGACCGAGGAATGGACTGAGGGTCTTACTCAGTAGAAGGCCGCTCCACGTGCTCAGCGTTTAAATATGCATCTGTGGCGTCCTCTTATTTAGGAGGACTGGGTTTCACTTTGTATGCTTTTGTAAACTGGGTGTTTTCTGCTGCCACCAGGAATTTAAGGACTTCCAAACCTCCTCTCCTTTGCTGTTGGTAATGTGACCCAGAGTCTGGGCTTTTCAGGGATATATGTGGTCCTGAGGAAAGACAGAACTGAATTCTGGGATAAACTTGAACAAAAGATGATTTATTGAAATAAGAACAAAATATGAGGTTGGTTATTCTGTAACTGTTTGGGAATAAAAGTAAAGGTAAAGGTTCCCTTGCTCGAAAGCCAGTCGAATCCGACTCTAGGGTTGCGGTGCTCATCTCCGTTTCAAAGCCGAAGAGCCGGCGCTGTCCAAAGACGTTTCCGTGGTCATGTGGCCGGTATGACTAAACACCAAGGTGCACGGAACGCTGTTACCTTCCCACCGAAGTGGTACCTATTTATCTACTTGCAATTTCTTGCTTTCGAACTGCTAGGTTGGCAGGAATTTGGGAATAAGGGACGTAAATATGTCTGTCAGATGTATCACACACACTGTCCATTTTTCCTTTCTTTTTCTTTTTCTTTTTTGACACTCAGATCCAACATTAATAGGAATCACTCTTTCATATTGGCTGCCTCACAGGCTAAGCTCTTGATAATTTTAACTTCCTTACAGAGCTTTCGAGTCTCACTTTTTAAGACATAACACTGCACTCTTTTAGATCCCACACAGAACTATCAGAACACTCACTGACTGAACTCTCTAATGGAATAACTCCAACTGACTTTTTAAACTGATTTTTCTATAACTCTCTGACATTCACACAGATCCACACAGAACATCTCCTCCCACACTCTGTCATCCTCCAATCACACCACACCTGTCTCTCTCAGTCACTCTACTCTGCATTCACTGCACTGCAACCAAACATTTACAGAGACACACACACTCTAAAACAAGGAATCATTACAGTATCTCTTTGCAAATGGATGGGCTCTCTTTTCCTTAACCTTGTGAGGCATGGGAGAAGAGGGGGTTGGGAGGGAAGAAGAAGAGGAGGTGGTGGTGGTGATGGTGAGGATGATGATTGGGTTTGTACCCTGAGGAGGAGGAGGAGAAGACGAAGAAGATTGGGTTTATACCCCACCCTTCACTCAAAGCAGCTTACAGTCTCCTTTCCCTTCCCCCTCTCCACAACAGACCCCCTGTGAGGTAGGTGGGGCTGAGAGAGCTCTCTCGAGAACTGCCCTTGAGAGAACAGCTCTGAGAGAACTTGTGACGGACCCAGGGTCACACCATCAGCTGCAAGTGGAGGAGTGGGGAATCAAACCCGGTTCTCCCAGATTAGAGTCCATGCTCTTAACCATTACACCAGATAGACATGTGTGCCTGGCATCTTTTCTTCTGACCTGGTAGGGGCAACACGATTTAACTAACGGAAGGGTCCCGCTCTCGGCACCAGACACCGTGCCTTCTCTGGCTCTTGAGTCTTTGGCATCAGAACGGCCAGCCGTTCCCCTTTCGGAGCTCATGTTGCTTCCGAGACCACCCGTGTTCGATGGTTGTGTAGATAAAGAAATCCTTGCAAGTGTTCCTGAACAGTGTGACACGACATATCTGTCCGATCCCCACAACTTGCAATTAATACACGTTTGTAGCAAAGTAGTATTTTATTGAAGCCATGATGGAACAGGAACACGTTCACTGTTTAGAATAACTGGGAAAGGTCAGAGCAGGGGATAGTAAAGCGAATTCAAACCGACAATAACCAATAGACTTGGTTCGCGCTCGCGCGGGTGGATTCTCAGATTCGCGCTCCTAGTCTGAGAAGTAACGGTTTCCTAAAAGATAAACAATTAGCTCTTCTCACACACTAACTCATTATAGACTAAGCGAAGCCATCTCCTCTCCGCACCTGTGACCTTGCAGATAAGCAGTCGCATCGTTGCGGCCTTGCCTCGAGCATTCTGCTGCCCAAACAGTGCGTGCTGGACTGCGCCCCTTGATTCCTTTGTGGGAGGAAATTGAGATTAAAATCCCCTCGATAAAATAGGTCCCCCTTATCTCCAACTGTTACAGAAGAGGAGTTTGCTCCCCACTCTCCTCGCACCACGAAGTGGGCAACCAGCTTGTCTCTTCTCTTTCACATGGATTTGGGTTCCTCGACTGGAGACTGGGCCGGGAAGGGAGGGGGGGGAACGCGACAAAGCAGACAGGACTGCGTCCCAGTGAAATCCGCCCTCTCTCCCCCTTGCAGGAAAGCAGTGGATTGCTGTTCAGAACTGGGGAGCGTGGCTGTGTACGTGTCTCAGGACTGCACAGGTAAAAGGGACAGGTGGGCAGGCCTGGCCCTGTGGCTCATGCATCACCTGGAGAGGTCTTGTGGGTGGCATCAGATCGCATTCTCTGGGGCACACAGTCACGTCCTCAGTCAATATTTATCATGGTCAGAAGCCAGCATATTTATTTATTTATTTATTTATTTAATTCAATTTATACCCCGCCCTCCCCGCAATGCGGGCTCAGGGCGGCTTACATCGGGGCAAACGCCAATATAAAACATAATTAAAACCATTTAAAATCCAACAGTACAAAACATTCATAACGAGTTACTGACTAAAGTGCTCTAGGTGTTCAACATGAAATTTCAGAGTTGGAGAAAAGACGACTGAGGGGTGACATGATCGAGGTTTATAAGATTATGCATGGGAAAGAGCAGGTAGAGAAAGAGGTACTTTTCTCCCTTTCTCACAATACAAGAACTCGTGGGCACTCCATGAAACTGCAGAGCGGTCGGGTTAGAACGGATAAAAGGAAGTACTTCTTCACCCAAAGAGTGATTAACACTTGGAATTCACTGCCACAGGAAGTGGTGGGTGCTACAAGCATGGATGGCTTCAAAAGGGAATTAGATAAGCATATGGAGCAGAGGTCCATCAGTGGCTATTAGCCACAAGGTATAGCTAGGGGCTCTGGGGCAAGTGATGCTCTGTCTTCTTGGTGCTTGGGGGGGTCAACAGTGGGAGGGCTTCTAATGTCCTGGCCCCACTGCTGGACCTCCTGATGGCACTGGTATTTCTGGCCACTGTGTGACACAGAGTGTTGGACTGGATGGGCCTTTGGCCTGATCCAACATTGGCGTCTCTTATGTTCTTATGTTCTTAATATTCATAAAACTCGGAGCTTAAAAAAAACCCACATTGCAGTAATTCCAAACATTTCCGCTTTCTAATTGCTATAGTACAGAATTTTGCTACCGCATAAGTTACCGATTCTGCGTATCCTCTAAGAGATATTTCCAGAGTACTTCAGGACTAAAGTTCATATAATACTTCAGTGGTGTGAATTTAGAGAGGAGTGGAATAAATCAGTTGCAGTCGTTCTTCTTGATAAAATTCACAGCACAGGAGAATGTGTGTAACAGATTCAGTCACTTTTCCAGAACAGGAACAATAGCGCTTCTGCAGGGGCAATGGAGAAAATCTGCCAAATAGTACTGTGGAAGGGAATGCGTCAGAGCTGCTCTCGAAAAGATCCATCTAGATCTCTCTAGATGATATTCGAGAGATACGGAGCCGATGTATAATTTGGCCACGTTTTCAAGCTGCCGTCGTTTATAGGGAGCATCGCTTCATCGTTTTGAGATTCAGTGTCACTCAGTCTTTGTAATACCAGGGCCTTTGCTTTATTCAAACCCCTATCAAAAAGCTCTCCTGGATTCAAACCAATCATTCTGACCTTTATCAGTTATCTTCGCAGACCCTACGGGGTAGGTTTCAGCGGCTGGAAGGCAGGGTATTAAAACCCTTCGGATTTAAATGCGTCCTTAACCATTTCTGCTGAAGGACACAATCGCTTTCTCTTTTCCGGTCCCCCGCCTTCAGTGTACAAAGGGGATGTGGCCCAGCTGGCCGGCAGGAGCGAAGGGAGGGCCCCGTGGGAGCCCTGCGCAGAGTGGAAAGCGGTCATCATCCTGGTGCCCATGCGGCTGGGCGGAGACAGCCTCAACCCCGCCTACGTGGACTGTGTTAAGGTAACGGGGTGCCTTGCGGGATTCCGTGGTACACGTGGGCTCCTCTCCCCGGGAACCGAGACGAGTGCCTTAGCCTGTTCTTGTGGCCAGCCTGAATCAGGGGGCCCCCGGTGCTCCACAGATCTGTGCCCCGTGAGTCCCCGGGCCCTAAGGAGGGGACACGCAGTCAGAGTCCCGTGAGTAGGATAACGGAGTGCTTATCAGATGCACAAACACCCCTGTGCCAAGCTGCCTCTCTCCCGCAGCTGCTTATGTGCCTTAAATGACATCTATGAGTTTACGTTCAAAGGAAAGTGTCACTGGCTTACAAATATCTTGACATCATATGTCGGTGCAGTCTTCTTGGAGAGCCCCGTATCAGGGGTCTGATTACATTCACTTGCATCCATTGATCAATTGTTTATATAATAAAAGGCACGAGGACTTCCTTCTGAAAGAATTCAAGGCCCCTCTGGCACCCAGGATCGATAAGAGTTGCGATTTATGACACTCGGAGGAGCCCCTGCTCCAAGCATAAATGTAACATCCTGGGATGCCAGGCGCAGGTCTTCGGCCATAGCATGCTGTAAAAGCGTCAATTCCCCACTCCTAAACCGCTCTCTCCAATGTTTGAAACAAAAGGCATATTCTAGCCTCTAATCTTATGTCCTCGATTAATATACACAACGCTTGCTTGGGCTTTCAGAAAGAACGGCGGAAAAACATCTTCTCTGTCAAAAGGCTGTTGACAGTTGAAAGGCATGTGCTGAGGGAAACTTCCTTCTACGTAGGAAGTCATAACATCTGCTTTGGTGATTTTGCTTCTGACATTCCCAGAAACAATAAACCCATTTTCGCCTGTGTGGGACAGACATTTCAGGGGCCCACAAGAACCAGGCACAAAATAACTTCTCTTTGTCTCACTTCCCACCCCAGTGTGGTGCCCGTTGACACCTTTCCTGGTGCCTCTGCCCATGTGTCTTTAGAGGGCAGGAGGGGGCCAGGTGGGGCATTTGTCCAGCCAGGCTTCTGATGGGCTGTGCAGATTAAAAGGCATCCTTTTCAACAGGGCTTCTGCCCGAAACATTGAATTTTACCATTAGGGCTATGCACAGCTTTGCTCCCTGATGTTTTGTGGTCCCCCTGTGGCAGCCATATTGTAATCGTGCCCACCACCCCGTGTCAGAATTCCAAAGGTGCCCACGGGCTCAGAAAAGGTTGGGGGCCCACGGCCCAGAGAACCAGAGAGACGGTGGGGGTTGGGGACCCATGGAGAAAGGTTTGGGGACCCATGGCCCAGAGAACAAGACGGTGGCGGTTGGGGACCCACGGAGAAAGGTTGGGGACCCACGGCCCAGAGAACAAGAGAGACGGTGGGGGTTGGGGACCCATGGCCCAGAGAACGAGAGACACGGTGGGGGTTGGGGACCCGCAGAGAAAGATTGGAGACATACGGCCCAGAGAACAAGAGAGATGGTGGAGGTGCCTTTTTACCTTCATGGGGCAGAAGAGAGGGCGGAGAATCAGGTGCATTCTCTGTGCGGGAGGGAGAGAGAGAGTTTCTGGGGCTTCCTTTTGCTCTGTAACAAGTGCCCAAGTTGAAACACAGCAAAGCGAGAGGTGGCTAGCCACTGGTCTGGCCGCCTCCTGGAGAACCCACACTAGCCTGATCTCATCAGATCTCAGAAGCTAAGCAGGGTCGGCCCTGGTCAGGACTTGGATGGGAGACCACCAAGGCAAGCCCAGGGTCGCAACGCTGAGGTGGGCAATGGCAAGCCACCTCTGAACCTCTCTTGCCTTGAAAACCCTGTGGCTGTGATGCTCCCTCTAAGCTGTGGAGTCCTGTGAGCAAAAATCCTACTTTCTGAGCTACTGGCATTCAAGTTGTGAGCGAGCCATTGGGCTACTGCATAAATTTAGTTTGCTCCGGAGCCCTCCTTCCCGAGCGGAGACAAAAATGCATGAGCCAGGGGCTAAAAGACGGTGAGCTGGCTCACGCTCAGCTTAGAGGGAACACTAGTGGTGACTTGCCAGCTCTTTCAGCCACCCGCAGCCACCATTCCACCCAAGTTTTCTTTCCCGTAGCCCGGTGTCAGCCCTGTCTGGAATGTGGAGGGGTGCCCTCCCTGGCTCACCAACTGTCTGTTATCTTATGCATGACCTTGAAGATGCTCCAGCTGCAGTTTTACTCGGCTGGGAAAATTAACGGCTTTTGCTTTGCCTGCTGGCTTTGCCCGCGTGCGCGCAAGATGTATCCATTGGCTCATACTTACCGGGGGGGTGTTTGATTCTAGTATAAGTCAGAGGCCCTAGTATTGGCGGCCATTCCTGACACAAGCTGTACACGTGTCTCTAGTACTGGATTTACCAATAAACAGTTATCTTCTCATGAAGCCCTGTCTTGCGTAACCTGGCTAAGGACCCTGACACCCGGTTCTTGTCCCGCACAATGTCCTGGGAGGCTGGGCACCTGACGGCGGTCTCTGGGACATCCTTTGGGTGTTCTGGCAAAGTGGAAGCCATTTGTGGGGGTCTGTGATTAAATCCTGAGAGGCCCACCTGTCTCTCCTTGCCACGCAGGAGCTTCTGAGGCTGGATTTCTGCATCGGGATCATTGGCGGAAAACCCAGGCATTCCCTCTACTTCGTAGGATATCAAGGTACTGTAACCTCCAGGGCAGCAGGCCTCTTTACTGACCCGGAAACCTCTGATCTCCCCCCTTCCCCCCTGGTGTCGAGTAATTGCTGGCATCCTTGCCTCTCCCAAAAGGTGGGTGGGTCTGAGTCAGGCCAGACATCCAACTGATGTGCAGAAAAACACAGGTGAAGTGAAGCTGGTGTTCATTGCACAACAAAAAACATGTTTAATCCAGCATCATAAATATTACATACTCTCTGCAGGGGCTGTGGTGGCCCAGAGGTTCAGGAGCCGAGCTGCAGACCTCCTGGTCTGTGGTTTGGCAGTTCGAGACCCGAGTGCCGCATGACGGAGTGAGCTCCCATCCCCGGCCCTGGCCCCTGCCAGCCTAGCAGTTTGAAAGCAAGGAATTGCAAGTCGATAAATAAGCACCGCTTCGGTTTGGAAGGTAACAGCGTTCCGTGCGCCTCGGCGTTTAGTCATGCCGGCCACAGGGCCACGGAGAAGTCTTTGGACAGCGCTGGCTCTCCGGCTTGGAAATGGAGATGAGCACTGCCCCCTAGAGTCAGATTGGACGAGCTTTCGAGCAAGGGAAGCCTTTACCTTTACTGTGTGCACACACACTTTTGTGTGCATGTGTTCTGCTCTGAGACGCCAATCTCCTCTTCCATCTGGAACAGCCACCATCTAGTTGCCACCTGGTGGTAGCTATTTAGGGTTACACCCTTAATCAGTTCTCTGAAATCTGTATCAGTTATTCTAAAACTTGGTGCAAAAGGCCGTTTTGTATTGGAGAAAAGTTTTATCGTCAAGGGGAAGGAAACCTGATGCGGGCTGAGTTGGGGGTGGCCTGGTGCCTTCCAGCCCAGCCGAGCCCCCGTGGGACTAGCCAGGACCCTTCACCTCCCCCCCTCCCTTGTCTTCCAGATGACTTCCTCCTGTACCTGGACCCTCACTACTGCCAGCCCTTCGTGGACACCACCCGGGAGAACTTCCCCTTGGAGGTGAGGCTCCCTGACATCTCTTTGCGCTTTTCCCGTGCTGTGGTTTTGCCTCTGCGATAGTCAGCCTTGCGGGCAACGCGGCGCTCCCAGTTCCAATGGCACTCCCAATTCTTACCCACCAGGTCTAAGCCCCGAGATGTGATTCTGCTTCCAAGTATTAATTGCTGATCCAGGGTGCTGGGGGGGGGATTTGGGGGGCTATGGGACTGGTAAAGACTCCATAGAAAGCGATGAGCAGATCTTCTCTGTTTCGTTTCATTTATCTGCTTCCTTTCCACCCCGCTGTTTGCCCCAGTGGAGACCCAGAACAGCTGACATCGCCCTCCTCTCCCCCATTTTATCCTCAGGACAACCCGTGGAGGTTGGGGAGGCTGAGAGTCATGTGACTGGCCCAAGGCCACCCAGCAAGCTTCCGTGGCGGGGGGGGGGAGTTTTGAACCTGGGTTTTCCTGTTCCTAGTCTGACATAACCACTACGCCACGCTGGCTCTCCAGTCTCTGGTGACCAGAACAGCCCAGGAGGCTGCGAAGATTTCTAGTCTGATTTTTCCTCCAGTGTGCCGTGGTCCTCCCTCCGTGCCATCCAAACAAGAAGTGATTCAGGGGTGGGATTCAGTGCCAGAGGATCCAGTGATGGCCACAGGCACAGACCGCTTTCAAAGGAGATTTGACAGATTCGTGGTCTAGCAGTGGCTACAGGCCATAGAGACTAAGGGGAACCTCCACATTCAAAGGCAGTCAGCCTCTGACTCCCAGCACCAGGAGGCAACATCAGGGGAAGGCCTCGGCCTCTGTGCCCTGTTGTTGGCCCTCCAGAGGAACTGGTTGGCCACTGTGTGAAGCAGGGTGCTGGACTAGATGGACCCCTGGTCTGATCCAGCAGGGCTCTTCTGATGTTCTTATGAAGGCCTCGGCCACTGTGCCCTGTTTTTGGCCCTCCAGAAGCCCCATCCTGAGACAGGATGTTGGACTAGATGGACCCTTGGTCTGATCCAGCAGGGCTCTTCTGATGCTCTTATGAAGGCCACAGCCTTCATGCCCTGTTGCTGGCTGTCCAGAGGAACTGCTTGGCCCCTGTGTGAGACGGGAGGCTGGACTAGACGGACCCCCACTGGTCTGATCCAGCAGGGTTGATATCCTGAATCCTCTTCTCATATCCGGCTCCTCCTAGTCATTGAGTAACTTTTGTGGTAGCAGAACAACTGTAGAGTCCAGTGGGGGCACCTTTAAGACCATCAAAGATTTATTCAAGGTGTATGAGCTGCCATGCGCACGCACGCTTTTTCAAATTCTGTCTTTCAAATTCTGTCTCACTGTGTCTGAAAAAGTGGGCCTTGCACAGGAAAGCTCATCCCTTGAATAGATCTTCGTTGGTCTTCAAGGTGCCCCACTGGACTCCACATTTGTTCCAACAACTGTAGAGTCCAGCGGGGGCACCTTTAAGACCAGCAAAGATTTATTCAAGGTGTGTGAGCTGCCGTGTGCAAGGCACCCTTTTTCAAATTCTGTCTTTCACATTCTGTCTCACTGTATCTGAAAAAGTGGGCCTTGCACAGGAAAGCTCATCCCTTGAATAGATCTTCGTTGGTTTTCAAGGTGCCCCCCCTGGACTCCACATTTGTTCCACTGCTTCAGACCAACACGGCTGGCCACCTGGAACTATTTTGTGGTAGCCTCACCCTTTCCTCCAGTTTGGTGTAGTGGTTAAGTCCAAGAGCCCATTTGGTGTCATGGTTGAGTGCGCGGACTCTAGTCTGGGAGAACTGGGTCTGATTCCCCACGCCTCCACTTGCAGCTGCTGGATGACCTTGGGCAAGCCATCGTTCTGTCAGAGCTACTCTCTCGAGAGCAGTTCTCTCAGAGCTCTCTCAGCCCCAGCCGCCTCACAGGATGTCTGTTGCGGGGAGGGGAAGGGAAAGGAGAGTGTGAGCCACTCTGATCTGAGCGAAGGGCGGGGTATAAATCCAGTCTTCTCTTCTTCCCACCTCCCCTCTCTCCTAGTCCTTCCATTGCAACTTCCCTCGGAAGACGGCGTTCAGCAAGATGGATCCCAGCTGCACGATTGGTTTCTACGCCCGTCACAGCGGAGAGTTTGAGCAGCTCTGCTCGAAGTTGACTCAGGTGAGGCATCCCAGCAAGCCGCACCTTCCCAGAGGCATCCTGCAGGGTGGGCTGAATTACGCCAATCACATGTGGCCCCCTTCAGGTGAATGGGCGGGTTTAACTCGGCCGCACACTTTGGGGGGCTTCGGCAAAGGACTGTGTGTCTGCAGGATTCCGGTTTTCGTTTTGAAGATTCGAATTGGGGGGTTTGGGAAAAACGGACTGGGCTTTGTGTACACCAGGGGTCCCCCGTCTTTTTAAGCCTACTGGTGCCTTTGGAATTCTGACATCGCGTGGTGAGCGCAGCCACAAAACGGGTGGCCTCAGCTGACCGTCATTTGCACAGTGAAGATCTTTGGGCTGTGGTGGCCGCTGCTGTGGGAGTGATGTTTTTAAAAAATCTGCACAGCCAATCATAAGCCTTGCTGGGTCAAAGCCCCGTCTTTCTAAAAACACTTTGTGGCGCACAAGGAAAGTGCTGGTGGGCGCCACGTTGGGGACCCCTTACTTAAACAATCCAGGCAGGACTATTTTTGGGCAGGAACGCACAGGAACGGAGTTCCGGCTGGCTCCCAAGTTGGCCACACCCAGCAGGAACTCATTAGCATAATAGGCCACACCCAACATCAGAAACTCATTAGGATTGGCTACATTAGGGGTGTGTGGCCTAACATGCAAAGGAGTTCCTGCTACAAAAAAGACCCTGGGTTTTGATAACAAACAAGGTAAACAGAATAAGAAGCAAAAGGTGGGTGTGGCTGGATGACCACACTTCTGGTGACATGGGGGTGTGGCCTAATATGATAATGAGCTGCACAATCAGGGGTGTGGCCTAATAGGCTAATGAGTTTCTGCTGTTGGGTGTGGCCTATTATGCTAATGAGTTCCTGCTGGGCTTTTTCTACAAAAAAAGCCCTGAATCCAGGAAATGTTAAAAAGGTGATGGTGACGGAGAGGTGTGTGGCGAATTGGGGACAACATCCATACTGGTAGATCAATAGCGGAGTTCCTTAAGAATCCCTGGGTGTACATAGAGGTGTTGAAGGCCTGTGGGGGGCGGGGAGTGGAAAAAAACCAGGAAGAGTTTTGAGGAGCTGGGACACACACACACACACCCTCATCTGAATTATTTTCTTTTTGAGTAGAGCATTTCATTCATTCTAAATATATAGCGTGAAAAAGTTAGAGGACTTTCTTGACTTTCACAGTGGGAAAACTTGCAAGATTTCTCCCTCTTTTGGAAGGAGTGAAATGAAAAAGTCAAGGGTTTACTCAAAATGTATACGATGAAAAATGTTATGTAAGGCGATCTGCAGCATTCAGCCAGAATAACTCTCACAAGCCCTGACCCCTGGGTAGCCCAGGCAAGCCTGATCTCGTCAGATCTCCTCGGAAGCTCAGCAGGGTCGACCCTGGCCAGGACTGGGATGGGAGGCCTCCCTGGTATGCCAGAGGTGGGAGGCGGGGGCAGGCTTCACTCAGCCACCTCTCTGGATATCCTCCAGGAGGGGTCAGCCACCAGAGGTCGCCATGGCTTCCAGGGGCACACACGCTCGCACATATTTAAAAATGCCTAAAAACCAGAATAGCTCTTGCAAATACCGTAGACACGTACAACATTTTCAAGATTTTTTTGCTTGAATTAAATAATGTTGGCAGAGTTCAGTGTTTTCATTTTTATTATTCACTGCCAATGTGATGATACTCCGCCCTATTCGTGACTACATGATTCCTGTCCTCATAATACGTTTTCTTTGGTTTAAATGAGAATTTGTTTTCCAGCTTCAAAATTTTTATTTTTTCCTATCTCTCAGATGGCAGAAATTAGGATCACATAGGGTGCAGCAGTTTTTTCCGAAGAACTGGACTCTTGGACATTTTTCCTACGGAAGATGTTTTTCCTTTAAACTTCTATAAATGTGCCCAGTAGTGCAATTTCACATGCTGAATTGTTAATGTTATTAAATCAGTAAAAGAAGTTTCAAAGTTTGATAGGGAAGTAAGCTCTGTATATATGTCAGTGTTTCGGCTGCTTCAAAATCTTTGGAGATTTTACACCTCTGACGATGTGCTGTTCCGACGCCACTGCTCACCTCTCTCCACTGTGAAAACTGTCCATCTCTCCCTCCCTCTACCTCAGGGGTCCCGACTCCCTAGCCTTTGGGCAGCTTTGGAATTCTGACACGGCCTGGTGGACCAGGAGAGGTGTGGGTGGGCATCACAGCGCCCACAGGCACTGTGTTGAGGACCCCTGCTCTACTCCATTTTTTTTTTAAGTGATCAGTCCATTAAAGGACTTACGCCTCCTTTTGCCATAACTATTAACATGACTCCACAGTCTTTAGTGAGGCGTTTTGTCAATACCTTTCAGAAGCTTCCAGTCCACCCCTGCCAGCTATCCCTGCCTACACACCAAGCGACCCTCTCAAAGAGAACCTCC